TATATATATATATGCTTTTGTATTCTTAAGCTAATAAGTTATTCAAGTCATTCTGCAAGGTGTAAGATGGATTAAACAAAGGTGGAAATATATGCATATCCCAGAATGGACAGACGGTATCCATCCGAATGTTACCTATTCCATGACTATTGCATCATGTGCAGTCGTGTTTTCATGTCTGGGAACTGTCTGAGCGTTTTCTCGGCTCATTCTGTTCGTTCATAGGTCATTGATGCTTCCAATCACATAGCTGATCGCATCTTACTGCTTTCTTGACTTTACAAGGATATGCCAACGATAATCCACCCACTGACTTACCCAGATTTCCGAAACGTACTGCGATATCGTGGTCACGTCTACTTTTCGCATATATTCCTGTGTTTGGGTCTTCATACGCGCATGCATATGTGTGTGTGTGTATGTGTGTGTGTGTGTGTGTGCGTGTGCGTGTGTGTGTGTAAATATAAATGTATGTCGACGTGCACCGGTTATGTGTATGTTTGCATGCACACAAAATGTATGTGCATTTTGGATGCGCGTCCGCAATATGTATATGTTTATATGCATGTATTGGTGTATATGCGCGTTCAGTGATCAAGCGGCTAATGTACATGGGTTTGCGAGTATGCATGTGGACGTATGTGTGCGTGTTTATGTGTGTATGCATGTCAGTGAATAGGTGCATGTGCGTGTGTAAGTAGGTATACGTCTAATCTTAGTGTATGGCCACTTTAGGATTGTGAGTAGTTATACTGAGCAAAACAACGATGCGGGCTGTAATCGACAATAGTACGGGCAGGCACACACACATGCACAGACATACACACATGCATGCATGCATATAGACATACAAAGAGATTTGAACAGAGTGGGCCGTAGAAATGATTGTGCAGGTTGCGCAGGCAGGGCACTGCAAGCTTCCCTTACTACCCAAGTGGTGTTGGTGTTGCTGCTGCAGTTGTGAGTGCATGTAGCAGTGGCAGTAGCAGTCTAGCAACTTGCTTCGGCCATCGATTTGCGCTTGATGGAATCGAGAAGTACAGCGCGATGGGATGGATGGAGACTGCATGCAGGAATACAGCTACAGAGTAGAGTGA